TGTGTGTGTATGTGTGCGTGTGTGTGTGTGTGTGTGTGTGTGTGTGTGTGTGTGTGTATGTATATATGTATATATGTATATACATATACATATATGTATATATATATATATATATGTATGTATGTATGTATGTATGTATATATTCTTTTTTCCTACATTTCTAAAGAATACATGCATTGTATCAATATAATATCGTTCATTTTGTGTCCGTTGATATACTCCTTGTACACACTCTACCTAGACATTGCATTCCTTTTGTTATGCGAACGTGTATGACGGTAGCTTTCACATTGAGGTTGAGTTACGCCTTAGCATGGTACATGTCTTCGGCAGTGTTGCCAGTGTTCGAGGCGAGTGCTACTTCTCTCGTTTCAGTGACTCGCGAAGCCGAGACCGAATGGTATACGCTCTTATTGCCTAAGCACGCACGAGATCGCTTACATTTCATGCCATCGTGTGAGCGTATCTTGTGCGTCTGTTTATGTTGTACATCCGCATACAGCTGGATCGTACACATCCATAATTCTCACGGTCATGATCGCGTTTACGTTTAAAAAATGCAGGCTTGATCTGACTTTGATCTGATTTTACTGTGTGTTTCTCGCGCCACCTATCGCTCTCATGTCCCTCCCATGACCCAGCCGACGACAACGGACAGTCCAACGTTCTTAACGTTTACTCCTTTGTTTATTGTATCGAACATCTTAGTGTCAAGTAGCTGGTAGCTGTTGCCAAAGGGCAGTCCAACGTTCTTAACGTTTACTCTCTTGTTTATTGTATCGAACATCGGAGTGTCAAGTAGCTGGTAGCTGTTGCCAAAGGGTTGTCCAACGTTCTTAACGTTTACTCCCTTGTTTATTGTATCGAACATCTGAGTGTCAAGTAACTGGTAGCTGTTGCCACAGGATAGTACAACGTTCTTAACGTTTACTCTCTTGTTTATTGTATCGAACATCTGAGTGTCAAGTAACTGGCAGCTGTTGCCAAAGGATAGTCCAACGTTCTTAACGTTTACTCTCTTGTTTATTGTATCGAACATCTGAGTGTCAAGTAACTGGCAGCTGTTGCCAAAGGACAGTACAACCTTCTTATCGTTCTCTCTCTCTGGCCCTTTCACCAAAAACATTTGCTCGTCAGATTGCGGGCGAGGATGGATTGTCTGTGATAAACCGCATCCTTGACAAGGCAGATGCGGGTTTATTGCTGCTCTCGGGGGGTAGTCTGTATATGGAAGTGGACACAACACACCCTGCCCTGCTCAGTGAACGCCTGCAAAGCATGCCCAGCCCTGAGTACGCAGTAGGCACGCTTGCGTATACAGAACCACGCGAAGACTCAGATATAGGGTGTTTGGAGAAATATAAGGATGTAGGGAGTAATGGGAATTCTAGCAAGAACACCCCTGGCACCGGTTTGGAAGTAGAGGTGAATCTAAAAATAGAAACTAGTAGCTGGCGTTGGCCCAATTTGCGGTACGCAGAGACGAGACGAGATATATATGGGAACGAACGATTTTGTCGTATCATATACGGACCAGATCTTAACGACGCACAGACGATTGCGTCCAAAAAATAAAATGTATTGGGGAAGGCATTTTTGAACTGGGAGGCTGGTATATATATATATCTCTCTCTCAATATATATATCTCATTATATATATATATTTATTTATATATATATATATGTGTGTGTGTGTGTGTGTGTGTGTGTGTGTGTGTGTGTGTGTGTGTAGTGTAG